TCAGGGTCAGGGAAAGCTTGCTCAGTTTGAAAAACTATCGGAGAATCCTGTTCACACAGATCAGGATCAGGCAGAACCCCAACACTAACACCAGCAAATTAAACTTAAAATTATATAATAACATAAATCTAAATAAAACATCCACATTAGTGTACAACAGCCAGCCAGGGTGCACAAAAAGGTATGGGTAGGTTATGTAGTCAAATGAGGTCATTGGGCCGGCGTGGACCAGGAATGCCCAAGTACAAATAGTTCGCAACCCGAGGCACGGCACTGGTCTCTGCGCCATCTAATCCTCCTCCTCCTCTCCATACGCTAGTTTGCAAAAGTCAGTCTTCAGCTGTTTTTTGAATCACACTGTGTCCCATTCTGGGCATCGCCATGGAAGGGAGATGTGGAAGCTGGAATGTGTCCAGGGGAAGAGGGTGACTCAAAGGATCCAGGGTCTGGAGAACAAGCCCTATGAGGAGCGGCTTCAAGAGCTGGGCATGTTTAGCGTGAAGTAGAAAAGGCTGAGAGGAGACAGGATGAGGCCAGGGATCAAGAGGAGAAACTGGGGAAGTCAGAGGAAGGAGGAGCAGGTTTCCTTTCTGTTGGGCTTGGCCACACGTAAGCTGCCCCAAGTCCCTCCGGGGAGATGGGAGGCGGGGTATAAAAATAAAGTTATTAATATAAAGCCCTAAATGGTCTTGGCCCAGCTTAGCTGTCCAAATGCATCTCCCCCTATGAACCGTCTCGGAAGTTAAGACCACCTGAGGAGACCCTGCCCTTGATCCCATCACCTTCGCAGGTGGGGCTGGTGGGGACGAGAGACAGGGCCTGCCTTCCTTCTCTGTGGTGGCCCCACTTTCGGCTTTGGAACTCCCTCCTCAGGGACATTAGATCGGCCCCCTCCCTCCTGACCTTCCTCCAGAGAGTCAAAACGTGGCTCTTTGACCCAGCCTTTGGGGAAATTATTAGGCCTGGGTAACAACGGAAAAAATTGTTTCTAAAATCGATTTGTATTTGGGGTTTTTTTTTGTTTCGATATTTAAAATAATTACAAAATTTTCCTTTTAAAAAGTTCGATATTTACGAAATTTCGTAAAAGGAAAAAAATTAACGAATCGATTTCCGAAACAATAACGAATCGATTCGTTAATGGCGGACGCGACCGCGAAATACGCTAAAAAACCTCCAAAACCTTCTGAAGCTTCCCTCTCCCTCTGTTGTTGACTGTTGGTGTGATATTATAATTTTTTTTCACTAATTAAACCATAAAACTGGCCCAGACATGCGGAAATAATAACGAAACGACCTCAAAACAATAACGAAACGAATACAATATCGAAATACGAAGCATTTACAAAACGTTTTTGAAAATTCGTTTTTTTTATAATTGCTCCAGAATGGTTCGTTATCGTTTTGTAATTGAAAAAATTAACGAATTATTAACGAATTACGAATTAATGAAACGAAACCGCCCATCCCTAGAAATTATGCATTACACAGATATGGAATGAAGTGCAAGGACTCCTGGGACAGCCCCGATTACGATGACGGATCGGGTGGTTTAACAGTGGTGACGCTGGTTGAAATGCTTTTAAATGTTTTGATGCCTTTTGTAATTCTTCTAAAAATGCTTATATGGTTTCTAATGGCATCGAATAGCTGTCTGTGTGTAACGCCGCCCTGAGTGTTATCCGGGGTTGAGAAAGGCGGGGTGGAAATATCCCAAATCTATAGAAATAAAAATGTCGTGCTCGTTTGTGGGATTTACACAACTCAAAAACACTGGACGAATTGACACCAAATTTGGCCACAAGACACCTAACAACCCAATATATGTCCTTCACTAAAAATAATGGATTTTGTCATTTGGGAGTTGTAGTTGCTGGGATTTATAGTTCACCTACAATCAAAGAGCATTCTGAACTCTACCAATGATGAAATTGGGCCAAACTTAGCACAAAGGATTCCCATGACCAACAGAAAACACCAGAAGGGTTTGGTTGGTATTGACCTTGAGTTTGGGAGTTTTAGTTCACCCACATCCAGAGAGCCAAGTTTGGATCTGGACCAAACTTGGCACGAATATTCCATATGCCCAAATAGGTACACAGATGGAGTTTGGGGAAAATAGACCCTGACATTTGGGTGTTATAGTTACTGGGATTTATAGTTCACTTACAATCAAAGAGTATTCTGAACCCCGCCAAGGACAGAATCGGGCAAACTTCCCGCACAGAACCCCCCATGACCAACAGAGAATACTTAAGGCAACTCCCTTCACCAGAGCAAGAAAACGTAATCAAAGCCCTCCTGACAAAGAGCCATCCAGCCATAGATATAGTTATATATGATTCACGCACATGGAGATATAGTATCATAGATGTGAAAGGGACCCCTAAAGAAGGACAATGATATGTTACATGTTCCAGAGAAGGCAAACCAGATAATCTCCACATCAACACCGACAAAGAAACAGCAAGAAGTGCTGCTGACCCACAAGCAGAAAGAGTTGACATAGATTAGAAACCAACACTTTCTCATGACTTTATTTTCCAGATCACCTGGCTGGGCCACAGCAACGCCTGGCAGGGGACGGCTAGTCTATATAAATAAAAATGTCATGCTTGTTTGTGGGATTAACAGAACCCAAAAACCACTGGACGAATTGCCGCCAAATTTGGCCACAAGACGCTTACTACCCCAAGGAGTGTCTTGGGGTAGTAAGCATCCCCAAGCATCCCTCAAAACATGGATTTTGTCATGTGGGAGTTGTAGTTGCTGGGATTAG